CAAATCCTGCCAATACACTCAATGAACACATCTCTATTGAAACACAAATTTAATTTTGCATGATATCAAAAATAAACACATTATGCTATCAAACTGGTTAATCATTGTCAGTTATTAATTCCACTCATCTGGTTGATGCCATTTAGTGTCTTTAGTGTGACTGTCCAGAAGATTTCAATCGGTAATTTGTTACACAGTAGGATTTCCAATGTATCTGAGCCATGAAATGACTATTAATCGATTATACATGGACCTCTGGGTATCGATCACCTCCATATAGCGGCCAAACATCGACCACTTCTGAAGCTGACAGGAATGCAGCTGTAAAATCAAAACCAAAGTGTTGCATTTCRGTATTTAGGTTCGACCATCCATGGGACGACTATTCATCGATTACATGTACCTCCATCTGAACSACCATTAATCGACCACCTCCATAGAACGACCATAAATCGACCATTAAGGCTGACTTCAATATACAGGTTTGACCAATTCCCTCCTACGAATATCATAGAAAATGAGTCGTTCCATCACTAGGTACAACGTCTGGCTTCACAAGTCCAATTCGTTCGTGTACTCTTGCTATTTTTTCCGATTCTGTAAGCACATTTGCAAACTTTAGCTTGGGTGTCTTGTCTGACTGCCCCACATCAATTTTGCTAGTCTCATTTTGCTTTGCCCAAACTTCCTTAGCTTTTTCGTATTCTTCGAGGTCATCTCGCTTCAGTTCTATYYTTGTAGGCTTCCTTCGTAGCATTTTGGCCAATATTTTGTCTAATATGCGGAGGAAAATATTCACCATATAAGTCCACAGCGAGTTTTCGCGCCAATTGTCAGTTGTCAGCGGTTTCTTTACTTCATCGAGGAGGAGTAAGTTCTAGGATGAAAAAAAGATGGCGGACGAGTTTGAAAAACAAAAACATCGCAGCCAAAATCAATCAGATCTTAGCAAAAAAGGGAGTATAGATGAACACATTGTTGGTTTAGTAGAGCATATCAATAGTTTACAAAATTACTTTACTACCAGTTCTTGCTCAGGGAGAATTTGTGTCTTTTCTGAGGTAAGAAAGTCACTGTGTGAGAGAATCCGTCTGTATGCGAGGGGATCGATATCATTCCTTTTTTGTGTCCTTTTTTAGTTTCTGGTCCATTTTGTTWAAAACTGTAAACACGCAGAAACCTGTCAGAACTTGATAAGTTAACTTATATCTACAATTTATTATCAAATGCAGGACACTGACCAAAAGAAGAAATCAGGAAAGTGGCTATTTGTATCACATGACCTAGTACAAGTTGAAGAAGTGGTATGTTGTGAATTTGTATGACTTGTAAAACTACCTGATCAAAAAATCCCTAGGGGTAGTGGGTAAGGTAGTAAACGGAGGGGCTGCTTTAAACCATTCCTTCCTTGGCGCAAATTAGGGGATAATATACAAGGGTTTAAATGTCTCTGTACGAAACAGCTGCTCTGAGGCAGACAAAAACTGTTTTTGTGTTTCGTCTGTGAATMATTGACAAAGATCTTATTCCTTGTACTGGATATATGTACTTAGCTTGCATTGGCTGTTTGCTTTTTAAATTTTAACAAGTGCACTTATTAACTGTACTTATGCCAGTGTCAGAATCAAAAAAGAAAACAACAAAATGAAGGTCGGGGCAACAACAATTTTTGGTCGGCTGAACATAGCCTAGCTGAAATACTATCAAAATTTTACAGCATTCTTGAAAGAACCTGTAGAGATCTTTTTGTTGTTTGTGAATGCTTTTGGTTTATGGCTCTGYTGTTTTATTTCAGACATCATCTCTAGATATTACTGAAGGAAATGCARCTTTTAAGTTTGAACCTTTTGTTCTTCATATTCAATGTCGTATGCTTGAGGATGCTCAGGCAATGGTGAGTGTATTAAACTTACTTACTCTGTATTGACTATATGTAAAGTTTTTCATTAGTCGGACTAGCYGAARGCTAGGYCGACTWAAGTTTTACCTTTTAGCCAATCTATCTATCTATGTATTATGTCRCGTTTGGACCACCTGAAGTTAAGAATTTAATAGTTAACTATTGGTTAACTATTGGGTCTAGTTTAATATCAGATGTGAAGTGGAGTAAAGTAATGATTCATTTATTAACTATTTGTATTCTTAATCTCCTTTAAATTGATTCATATTTGTACAGCTAAAGATTGCTCTTGAATCTGGCTACAAAAATTCAGGAATTGTTGTTGGGAAGAAGCAACGCTATATATTGGTATACATTATTAGTTTACTTAACTATTCAATAATGGCATTTCACTGATTCGATCCATAATTTTTAAAAATAGACTCTGACCTACAGCAGACACTGTTGCATAGTGCCTTTGAAGTACAAAAGAAAGAGTTAAGGTTTTTCAATGACCTGGGAGTGAATAGTTATCATAAACCAAACAAAGTTAACCAGTGTATAGCATCTGTGATACAGCCAACCTCTGGTATCT